TCTCTCTGAGAGGCTCATGCACCTTTAACAAATTAAGACAAAAAAATTACATGGAGCAAAATAAACATATATAAAGGAGTGCACTCTGTGGTTTCACATATACAAAGTCTCGTAACAGGAAAGCTAAGCTGTGGTGATAAAGATCAGACCAGTGCTTGCCTTTGCAGGGTAGAGATTAACTGGTAGGAGGCCCTCACAAGTGAAGTAGTGGTTTTGGAAATGTACTGTATCTTATTTTGGTGGTTACATGAGTGTATAAATGAAAGACCTTCAAAAGTTCATAGAAAAGGGAATTAAAATATGAATTAATTTTGGCACAAAAAAATATTGAAAACCTTTGGAAGATCCTTGTCATAGCTTACCCAATTGAACATGTGGTATCTGTGCTTTGTATTGTATGAAAATTATACCTTAAATATTACAGCTTTATCTTTAAAAAGGAAAACACAATAGGCATTAAAAATATTGAGTACTTGGCCCAGTGTTCTACCCTTCCCTAGACTGTAAGCTTCAGGAGGGTGGGAGCCCTGTCAGCTTTGTTCTCTACTATCAATATATTCCTGGTACCTAGACAGAGCTGGGGACCTCCTGAATGCTCAAGTCACATTTGTTAATATTATAAGTTGGTGGGACCAGCAGATGGCATAATGGTTATGTTGCCAGGTGTGTGTGCATGCATGCCCAAGAACCCGATAGGTGAGTAGAAGAAAAGGGATTGAGGCATGTCCATCCCCCCAGGGGGTGACTTTTGCTTTCTGTCTCTCTCTCTCTGTTTCTGTCTGTCTCTCCAGCGTGTACACGTGCCCTATAGCAAAAATGTCTCTAAAAAATAATAAAATATAAGTTGGCAAGTGCCTCTGTGCATTGAGCTGTGGCTTTATTGTATCTCCCTTTGCAGACATGACCTGTTCTTGGCAGACGCTGGTGGCCCCAGAAGCTCAAGCACAGGTGCATTGTCTAGGAAAGGAGTTTGCAGGTGGAAACCCAGCAGGCCTTGGGTGTCCTTGGGCACTGACAGGGTCCCAACTGTGAGCACCATCTGCTTCTGTGAAGGGTGTCTGACAGCCGCTGCAGCCCTGGCCCTGGAAGGTGAATGCCTCTGAGACCCAATGTCAGGCTCCCATTCCCATCATCCCTGACTGCAGAGAGCCCACAAAAAGGTCATTTTATCCATAGAAATAGAAAATGCCAACATGTGTACCACTTCGTAATTTACCAAGTGGTTTTCTACATATGTTCTTATTTTATCCTCCCTATGACCCTGTAAAGTAGTTGTTTAATAAACGTATTTTTACAGAAAGATTAACAGACTTCTCCAAGGTCACACAGCTGGCAAGTGACAGACCTGGGATTCAAACCACATTTTTAACTATTTACTATTATATTAATATAGTACTGCTGTGTCATTTAAAGACCTTTGGAAGTAGTTTCTGACATTTGATCTCCTCAGTAAGGTTTACTGGACTCATGGAAAGATAAGGAACAAATCCCCCTTGCCTTTAATTCCACTTATTCCGTATGTTCCTGAGAGATTAGCCTGCCTGGACCACTAGGACACTGTCACCCCCTATGCAGTTTTTTCACATTCTTCTCCACCTACCAAGAAAAATCCACACTCCATATTTACCTGCTGTCCAGTGCTATTTTGCTCCTTTGTAACCTCGTATTTCTTAAAAAAAAAAAAAAAAATCTTTTTATCCTAGTTAGTTATATCTTCATTTCTACAACTTTGCAACTCTACTTCCCCTCCATGTGGAATACCAGTTTCCTCCATCTTCCCTTACGAAATGCTTTCTCACCTTCAGGTCCTAACTCAAATGCCACGGCCACTGCCTATTGGTAGATTTTTACTTCATCTGCACCCTTCCAACGCATGGCTTTCCCATGGCATTAACTGTCAGGTGCTATGAATATTTGCACCTTCCTTTGTCTTATTAGATCCTGAATCCCAGAAGGTTAGATTCTGTAACCCCTGTGGTGGTTAACATAGTTGTTTGCATACTGTGATATTTTATTTTTCCTGCCTCAGGTTTATTCGTACACACAGCACAAGACACCAGCCCCACACAGAGAGCAGCCTGGGGGTTGGTCCTTCTGTCCTCATACTGGCAAAGGCCCTACTATGGGACTTTTGTGGGGGCGTGGACACCTTTGGGAGCCTGAACTGGAGCTGGAACTGAATACGGAGCTGCAGCTGAGGCCTGGGCTTTGGTCTGGGTCTTGGCCTTGTTGGCCTTTGACCAAGAGAGCCTGAGGCCCTTGGCGATATGGGCGCGAGCACGTTTCCCGAGCTTAGGATGGGCAATGTAGGCAAGATGACTGAGCTGCGGCTGCTGCCCTTCGGGACACCCTTCTGAACCTCCTTGGGCTTTACAAGGCCTTGATGGCCTCTGCTCGCGCACTCATGGCCTTGGCGTTGTTGGCCTGCATCTTCTTCAGACCCTTCCTGTTGTGCTTCTTGGCAAAGCGCATGTGCCTCAGGAATTTGGGGTCCACCCCTTTGAGAGATTTGTATCTTTGTGATCGAAGTTTCTTGATGCCATTTCTATGCCATTTTCAGGACTGGTTGTGTGTGGTATGGTTCTTGGACTTGGCCATGTCTGCACCGAAACCCGCAGCCGCCGAGGAGCCTGCATACTGTGATATTTAATGGATGCTTTTTAGAGTAAATAAATTACCACTTCCCCAGCCATTGTTTATGCATTGAATTCCTTTTGATATGCATAATTTTAAAGCTTGTTTGCATTTTAATTTTATTTAATATGTTTGGTTAACATAGTCTCCACCTTCTGTATACTTTGCTTTTGACTTGGCACAAACTCAGTGAAAACCTAGGTTTTTTGTTTGTTTTTTTTTTTTGAGAGGTTTTTGCTATAGGGCGTGTGCACTTGCCAGACAGAGAGAGACAGAGAGACAGAAAGCGAGAAGTCACCCCCCAGGGGGGATGGCCATGCCGCAGTCCCTTCTCCATTCTCCTCTCGGGATCTTGGGCACGCACGCACACGCTCCCGGCGTGAGTTTTAAGCCACTGGGTTCAGGACACGAACCGTGGTCGACTACGTGGGAGTCGAGCGACATAGCCATTACACTAACTGCTGGTCCCCCAGTGAAAACCTAGTTTTGCAAATGGGGTAGACAGAGTTCTGCTCTGACTCTGCCATTCATTGGCTGTTACTTTGGATAAAGGGTAGAAATCTATCCTCTGGACCTTATTTTGCCTCCATCTGTTCGATGGGGGTAATACTTCCTTTTGCTTCTTTCATGCTGGTGCAAGGATTGGGAGGATGAATGAAATAACAGACGTGAGAGAGCTTTGTCGGCTATAAATGTCGCTTAATTGCACCTGCTGTTTGATTCAGGCGCACCTTTGCAGCTGGCTCCCCGTTCTTTGGGTGAAAAATTGGCGATCTGAGGTAGTGTGTACAGGGGGCCCCGAGTGTTGGGTCTGCAAGACCAGGAGGAGACAGAGACCACTCCAGGCTGGCACTGTGTAGGGGCGAAGGCCGAGCGGGAGAGTTCAGAAGCACCGTGGCTCCTGCCCTGCCCTGCGTGGCCCAGCGGGTTGAAGGGCCTGAGCAGCCACACCAGGAACCGGATGAAGGGAGGGAGATGTCAGTGGGGGACGCGGGGCTGGTCAGCCACACTCCTACAGGCCGCAGGAGCACGGGGAAGCAAGCCCTTGTCTGCATGGCGGGACCGGGGCCTGTGCTGGGGCGGAGTGGCGGAGGTTCCGATCAGAGCTGCCGGACAGGGACTGGACAGGTCGCATGCTGCCCTGGAAGTGGAGCGCCGAATGCCGCAGAACCCGGCCAGCTCCCACCTGTGAAGCCTCCCTCACGAGTTGGCCACGAGGTCCAGAGGCCCCGGATGCGCCCCCTAGCGGTGCCTCCCGGAAGTGCCGCCGAGCGTTCTGGGCCTGTCCATTGGCTCGTGCTGAGGGAGAGGGTGGGCCTTGGGTCGCTTCGCTTCCTGATTGGGTGGCTCTGCTTACTAGAAGGCGCCCT